GATTATTCCATACTCCCATCATTCTATATCAGCATATAGTATTTTTAATGCGCTATGGGATTTCCATCGAATAATTCTCTTATTGAATGAAATTACTTGTGTCCACTGTTTACAAAATTATGCAAAATGCTGAAAAGATTGTGAGTTTGTGGGTTTGTGGGTATGTGTCTCTGAAGACATGTGAAAGGACAGCTAGAAATTGCTGGGTTAAAGAGCATACTTATTTTAAAGTTTGGTAACAATTTCCAAATTGCTCTATCAAGCACTTGCCACAGTAGGAACCAGGATTTAAGAGTGCCCGTTTGCCCCCCGCCAGAACCAACCCCCTACTGTCAAACCCTGTTTATCACCGCCTATCTGACAAGTGACAAATAGTTTCTTCTTCTTCCTTTAGTTTACATTTCTTTGAATATGAGGGAAGTTTAACTTCATTTGACAGACTTTGTAAGGCCTTTTTATTGTCTTATTTTGAATTTCTCCAAATCCATTTTTTTTGAACTCCATGTAGAGATGGAGAATACAAATATATTTTTTAACAATAATCTAAAATACCATCAGAATTTTACTTTATTTTCTTCTATTGTTTCCCTCCTTCTCCCTCTCCCTGCCCACCCCCACCCTGGATGCATCTTTTATATTTATCCCTGTTAATCTTCGTCTTGTCCGATTCAACCATTCATCCAGCTGGTTCCACGATGCTGTCGTTCCCTGCAGTGTTGGGCTTGCGTCCTTCCATAAAAACAGCAGCTGTTTTCATTCAGGTTTCCAGTCACAATGTGCAGTGGCCAGAGCCTGTCCATTTCAGGCCCAGGGGCCCTGTCCATTCTGTCAGAAGATCCCATGTGGTCTCTTAGTCCTGGGCTTCCTGCCTCTGTGCTTTCAAACGTGCTTCGGAGAACTCCCCTGCCCGGGAGCAATAAATGGGATGCCTCTGTCCTCTTTAAATGAGTGTTGTTCACCCCCGCCTCCCACCACTCATCCTGCCTTTGCATGGTTGTTTTTGTCAGCTGTATAATCAGTCCTGGTGAGTCATATCTTAACTACGGAGGGAAAGGAGATGAAGGAAAAGCTGAGGGAAACAGGTTCCTGATTTCGTTTATAAAACCCACTGACCAAATGAACAGAAATTCTGGGTTCGTTTTTCCACCAGTTGATGCATGAATGTCATGGAGTCATTTGATTTATCAAATACAGTCACAAAACATTTCTTTTTTCATTTCCCTTAAAGCAGTAACTTTATTTATTGAAAAATGGACCAATTAAATGAACTTAACTCAATCCCCTTTACCTTTCTCTTCATTCCTTATTATAGTTGTCTGATTTGCATCTTTAGATGATTCAAATGTATTCCTTATTCGAATTTAATTCCTTAGTATATTCTTTCAAATCGTTTCCCCAAATCTTTTTAATTAGGATGTGCTGCCTAGGCATACCCGCAGAGTTATGTCCCAGGGCACCAGAGATGTCCAGACCTCTCCCCAGAGGGCAAAAGGGTGGGGTAGGCAGGAAGGGATAGACTTCTTTAAAATCACAGCATGTCTAGACTTATGCCCAAACACATCGGTTCATGATAAAGTAGTAAGTAGGACTTTTATGGAAAAATATATGGTAGAGAAAACAACACAGAAGCTTACATCCTTTGAAAATTGGACATAGCATTGGGTTCAGGAATTGTCTGGCCACAGGTTGTTTACATGTGGTCTGAACATTTTCTTAATGTGATCCTGTACTTAAGTGGATATAGGTTCAGCCAGAAAAGAGAAAGATGAACATCAAAGTTGTTACAATGCCAGAAGAAAATTATAGGGTGTTTCCATGTTTGAAAGATCACTAGTTTTCACTATTGGTTTGGGGCAATGAATTATCCATAAATAAAAACCTTAGAGACTTCTGACCAAAAACATATACTGTGTTTACAGAAAGTACAAGTTCAATGGGTAGCCGCTCCTATCACAAAAGATCAAGTGTACTCAATTAGGAAAAAGAGTCAGAGGAACTAAAGGCATGAATTAGTTCTGGAAACGTTTTTCCAACACATTCTAGTTTCCTTTCTAAAACTGATCTATTTCTGTTACAAAAAGAAAAAATAAACAGGAAAAAGCCTTTAATGACTAAATTTATTTAGAAAGGCCTATAAATAATAATGACCTTCCTTTATTGCTGAGCACTATGCTAGAACATTTACCTGCATCACCCCATAGGAGCCTCACAATAATCCTGTTCATTGATCGGCACAGGCCCTGCAGCTGTAACAAACAAATCTGGACATCTCAGCACAATTAACACAAAAAGTTCGTTCTGATCTGTTGTGGGGCAGGTAAGTCTCCAGAATGGTCATTCTCAGCTTCCAGGCCACTCTGACAGGGGACTGCTGAAGATGACACAGCAGCTAGAAAATTCTTTGGAGTAGACATGACACATAACCACTGGCCAGAATTAGTCATATATCTAGGCATGTCTACAAAGGAGCTTGGAAATGTGAAGAAACATGAATATTTAATGAGCAGTAAATGTCTTTTCCATATTCTGTAGAGTAGACGTTAGATTCTAAGCTCAAGAGAAGTAAATCTGGAATTCAAACCCTAAACTCCAAATCACTGTTCAAATCTGGGTGCCATCTTTGTTTTGTGAATGGTGGTAATGGTACCATATTCATCTTTTTATTTTATATAATAATTTCTGTGTAGTAAGGGAACGGCAAATGAAATGAATATAGGTTGAATATGGCTTTTTTTCATGAATAAAGTCATGTGATTATTTCTTAATTCCTCAATTAGGTTTTAACTGACAGAGCCCCATACTTCTTATTCCTACAATCCCAGAGCAGAATAAATGCTCAATAAACATGTTAGTTGATTGACTGAAATACAGATTTGTATTTTTACCTTCTGGTAGCAGATGGAGAGAGAAAATATCTTAAAGTACTTTCCAGAAAAAGAAGACATTTATTTTCATTTTTCTAGGCTGATTTGATGATTTTCAATTTAGGTAAAGAAAGCAACATTTTAAAATTATTGAAGGCTGACTCATACAAGCAAAAAAGGAAACATTGCTACCAGTCAATCATCATGACTTTATATGTTTTGGCTATTGTGTTCTTTATTATTATTATTATTATTATTATTATTATTATTATTATTACATTATTATTTTCAGTTTCCAAGATAGTTTTAATTTGGCATGAATTTTTTATTAGATTTCTTCCCTGCCTTTGCATATTTTTATATTCTATTCTTTATCATATTGTTCTATCCTCTTATTTTGCTTTTTTACTTCTTCAACTCTCCTCTTATATATTATTTTTTATCTTTTAAAATCATGTTCAATCTAGCGTGTATACAGTTCTGTTGGTTTTTTTCGTAATTGTTCCTTTTTTCTCAGTTGTCAAGATGTTTTTGCCTTTCACCGTTAGCTAGACCTCTCAGTACCCTCAACATCCCTGATATTGATAATATTCTAAGTACCAACACGTACTTAAGTGATACTTATGGATTTGGAGGGTGGCAGCATCAACTCTTTATAACCTTACTCCAATCTATGTTCATTTAAAATTTTTTTCCAGTTTCTATGATAATGTGTTTTTTTCCTGTCCTTTCCTTTCTTCTGTCCTTCCAAAGAAATCAAATGTTTCCTTTCATATCTCATCTTTAATTATGTAATGCCTTCAGTACCCTGTTTGTGATATGTCTTTACTAATCACTTTCTACAGAACTTCTATATAATTATGTGTTAGTGAACAGATATTCTTAATTGCTTTTCCAATTGTGTCTCTTTGTATAAATTCATCTATTGATACTTAAGCACTTTGAATAAAATGACCAGGTAAATCTACTTGACCATAAGTTGTTTTGTTGTAGTTGTTTCTATGTTCAAGCAGGAATAAAATTGAAGACATTAATGATGTCATGATCTCATGATGTCTTTTTAACTAATAAGTTACTTCCTCTAAATTGTTAAACTAATTATCTGGAAACTCAACACTGCCGTTTGTAGTGGTTCCCATAAAAATCTTTGTTTTAAAAAAAATTTAACAAACATTTAGTAGGTGCTTACCAAGCCCCAGGCAATGTATCAGATACTCAACTCACATCAGAGAAGAACCTAGACAACATGCAGACCCTCATAGAGCTTACGTTTTGATCAGGGAGAAAGAAAATCAGAATAAAGCAAATAGAGCTATAAAAGATTGTGGATCACAAAGTTCTGTGATTTAGAAAAAACAAAGAAAGAAAGAAACTTAAGGTATCTGTACTCTCAAGAGTGGAGTCAGTAAAGAGTCCCCTGAGGCAGTCACATTTAAGCAGCTGTCCAGTAAAACAGAAAGCACTTTCTTGAAGCAGGCACAGCATGGGATCTTGAGGAAGAAAAGAACTTAGTGTGTTTGTATTGAGAGGGAATTGAATTTATTATGATAGAAATAGGAAGCCCTCTGAGTTTTAAGCAGAGAAGTAGCATGATTCTATGTATGTTTGCATCGATATGTATTCATTAAGTGCCTACTATGTGTCAATCACTGCTCTAGCCATTGGTGATACAGCAGTAAACAAAATAGATACAAATATCTGGTGGTACAGAGATTTCATTCTACTGTTTAAAAAATAGCCTAGTGATTGCTGGGTAGAGAAGGGAGTGGGGCTGACAAGGGTGTGAGGAGACCAGTATGAAACCCATCACAGGAGTCCAATGCAGAGAGATTGAATGTGGGAGTCCAGTTGAAAGACTCACCTACCCTGAGATAATTTTATGAATATTATGATTTGAATACATATCTCGTCTTTTAGAATTAAACCAAGGCAAAACTGAAAAGTATAAAGGTATAAAGTCATATACAACAAATAATGTACACTAATCATTAAATCAGGATATATTGCATGCAAATATAAATCCCAGATGGATTAAAGATCTTAACATAGAGAAATAAAATCATAAAATACAGTATAGAGGAGTATTTTCCTAATTCTGGGATGGGGGAAGCCTTTCTAAGCATAATATGAAACACAGAAACAACACAGGAAAAGAATGAAAGGTTTGACTACATCAAAATAAAAAATAACTTTTTTAAGCACAAACACCACAACAACCCAGGGGTAAGGAGGAATGATGGCAACACATAAACTGTTAAAAGATAATACAGAAAGACCACCCCCAAAATCAATACAAAGCATTTTTAGAAACATTTTAATTTCTGTCAGTGTTAGCAGAATACAGTCCATCTGACCTGAATGCTTGCTACTGTGCTCATTCAACTAAATTCAACAAATATTTATTTAATATCTAATATGTGCTAAGTGCTAAAGAGATCAATGTGGACAAAACAGATGTGTACCACTCTCATGTAGCTTAGAGTTTAGATTTGATATCAGTATGATAAAAGCATTTAATAATAATCAGATGCTATTGGATCATCTCTCTCCATCCCCAATAAGTAATCTCAATATCTTTGCTTCTCTTTTCTCCCAGTCCCATAATTGTTTCCATTGTTCTTTGGAAGTATACTTATACTATGGAGTTCCAAAATGGGGTTGTGGATATTTTTTGGAGGAATTCTTCCTGTTTCCTAATTAATCATCCCTTCAACAAATGTACTGAGCTCACACTCTGCAGCAGGCTGTAATATATGCTAGGACCAAAGGTCAGTCGACATGGTTCTTGTGCTCAAGGAAGGTACAGCTCTAGGGAAACACAGACAAGTAAACCAACACATGTGGACAGATAGGTACACACTGTGGTAGAGAAACATGTGGGACTTCATGGGTGTGTAGAGAAGGACATCCAAATCAGGCTCAGGAGTAAGAAGAGAGTCCCTGGGGGCTTTTGGGTTGATAGTAGTAGAGTTGAATCAAAATTTTGAAAGCTATTTCAGGTGATGAAAGGGAGGGGACATTCTCAGCAGAAGGATGAGAGTGTGCAGAGGCTCACACTAGTGAAAAAAACATGATGTGTTTGGGAAACTGCTAAAGAGCACATTGTTAATGACAGTGAGGGCAGTAAATGAGGTTAAAAGAGAGACAGAGAAGCTGTGCTGAGGATTTTTTAAAGTATTCTGAAAGCTGTGAAGAAATTTAAGCTGGAGTTTGACAAGCTCCATTTAAATTTAATAATGATTATCCTGGAAGTAGTGTGGAAGGCTAATTATGTGGAAGTTGCATAAATCCATGTCAGAACTAATGGAAACTGAATGGCAAGAAGGCTGGATCAGCTGTGATGAATGCAAGAAAAATCTTAAAGCATAGTTTATAATCTATTGGAGGGGGAGGATGGAAGGCTAAAGTTAATAACCTATTGGAGAGGAGAGAGAAGGTTTATCACCTATTGGAGGGGTGGGATAGCCTTGATGCTGTAGTGAATAAGGGTTCCCATTCATGAAGATAAGGCAGATAAGAAGAACAAGTTTGAAAGTAAAGAAGATAAATTCTATTTGATTACTTTGGATTTATGGTAATTTGACTGTCTAACTGAATATATCCAAGAGGTTTTGAGTATTTGAGTCTGGAGCTCAGGAAAGATGACTGGACTGAACATCCAGATTTGTTACCATAAAAATACCATTCATTCAGGGATGAATATGTTGAGTGAGAAGAGTGGGTATATGAAAACAGAGTCCTGAGAAGCCAATATGGAGTGACTGATGGAAAGGGGACTGAGAAAGAGTAGCCAGAGGGATATGAGAAGAATCAGAAGCCTATAATGACACCAGAGCCAATGGAAGGGTTTTAGGATGTGTCACTGATAGATTACCATGTAAATGAAAATAGAAATTTGTCTCTTCTTCATGCTACGTGCTTAGTCCCAAAGCATCTACAAAACAATATGTCTTAGTAATAAGACTGTTGACTCACTCAAGAGCAAGTTTGCCCTTTTTTGATCCTTATTCCCTCACTTAATACTATATAGAGCTTAGCTCAATTATTCAGCCTTTCTGTACTTTTGTTTCTTATCTGTATAAAGGGTATAATAATAATACCTAATTCACAGGATTGTAATGAGGATAAGAAGAATTAATATGTGCGAAGTGATTAAAACAGTGCCTGGCACAGAATGAGCATGCAATAATTATGTCCACAACTCAACATATCAACTTTTCTCTGAAACTTTCTATTTCTCTATTTACTGTCTATATAAATGGCTTCACCCTCTTCTACTCACTCTGGTTGCAGGCTTGGTGTCATCCAGTGAAATGAGAGCTCTGTGAGAGATGGGGGTGGACCTGCCTTGCCCACTGCTCTGTTGGCAGCATCTCGAATGTGCCTCACCCTGACTGCTCAGGGAATATCTGTTGAGTGAATGAATCACTCATAATTATTCCTCCTCCCCATTACTCTTAACACTGCAGCTGTTAAAACCTACTGATTCTGCTTTTATAGTATCATTCACTTTTATATCTTCTTTCTTGCCCATGATCTCAACTCTAATTCAGATTTTTATAACTTTAGGTTGACTTCTATAAAGCTTTCAAACTAGATTTCCTGTGTCTGTTCTCCCTCCGACCCAGGCTCCCCTTCCTCCTTTTCACCCTTCTCTTTCTCTCTCTGCCTCCCTCTCTGTCTCTCTCACTCTCTCTCACACACACACAGACACCCCTCCATGGAACACACTGCCACTAGATTAACATTCTTAAAACAGTTCCGATTCAAACACAAACTTGTTACCCTAGAATTCAAGGCCATTTATAATCATCACTTTAATCTACTTCCCAGTCTTGGGTCCTGATTAGATCACAGAACTAAAATGGAAATAAATAACAAATATTCATTGCAGTGTATGTTAAAGAGCAATAAGAAGTAGTAAAGAAGGTAAGTATTATTCTATTTTATGGGAGAGATTCCTGTGGATTGGTGCCACTGCGGAATGTTTATAATAAAAGGTAGTTCTGGACTGAGCCTTTAGAAAAGAGTAGAACTCAGATAAGCAGAACACTAAGAGAAGGGTATTCCAGGAAGATACACAGAGTTTGCAGATACAAGAATGCCTAGGGCATGTGCATGGGCCAGTAGATTTGAGATATTTAAAGAAGGCAGGTTAAGAAGCATGGGGTCTGAACTGTGATGATGGAGTTCAGATGGGGAGGTAACTGAAGAATCAAGTAACATCAGAGAAAGAACTCATTGATCTTAGTGGTGTATCTAATGTCAATAAAAAGGTAAAAGAGAAATCTTCAATGATTTTGAGTTATTGGGAGTATTGATAAATACAGGGCCATCTTGAGAGAAAGCTATATGGAGGCAAAAGAAGATAAGCACAGATTCAGAACTGTTAAGTTCTAAGAGAGAAAGGCCCTGATGGAGGTATCCACTGGAGAAGGGCTTTAGCTCAAGTGAATATTTTGGGCTGAAATGGAAATTTTGAAGACATCTAAACATAAAGGTTTCTGTAACCATGAAAACAGATGAGACCCCTGAGAAAGAAAATAAGTAGAAACTTGTAGCAAAAGGTATGCTCACTTTGAAGACTTGAAGTACAAAAGGAGTCTATTGTGGAGGACAAATTCATAGCGCTAGAGAGAGAAAACCAAGACAGCAGTTTCATCTATATGAGTGGAGAAGAAGCTTTTAAAGGAATCAACAGTGTCAAAATCATTGTCTAGAGGTGGAAGAGAGTAAGCACTGGATAGGTCATGCATTAAGAGTCTAATGGTAATCTTGAAGAGAACAGCATACACAGAAAGTGAATCACATTAATTTTTTCCCTAAATAACTATTGAGCATTTACTAAGTGCAAGACTCACAGAGCTAAATCCTAGAATCGTAACAGGGAACAGAATAGGTGAGGTCCCTCCCTAACTTTAGAATCTAATCTTATGTTTTAGATGGTGAAATAAATGGACAAGTAACCAGAAAATTAGAATAAAATGTGATTGGTAGGGATTAAGGTCGGGGTAAGTCCACACCTCTGAGAGCCCACAGCCTTCTGTGGGTAAATTGTTCAGTTGTTCAAATTGCTCAGGGAAATTGTTGGTGATGGTGGTGGTGTGTTTTGTTTTTTGGAGAAAGTGATGTCCATGCCACACAGTAGAGGATTAATTGGAGTGATTTAAATGCCATGTTGATG